TTGCCCATGCCTTTCACCTCTGCTCGCTGCCCCAAAGCCGATGTGACATGCTTCACCGGTGACGGCTCGAGTTCGGTGAGCAAGTCCGGGCGAGGTGTCATGCTATAGGTAGCGCCACTATCAATCACCCAATAGTCCAGGGGGTGTAGGGTCACCTTCCCCACAGCTGCTGGCTCCTCAAAGCCTTCATCCTTCTCTGGACCAGCCGGTACTTGCGTCGACACGAAGTAGAATAGACCCGGGTATCGATCGTCGCTCGGGTCCTTGTCGTTGTCTCCGCTCTTCATGTTTGCAGCTCCGCCACCGCGACCGCCACGGCCTCCACGGCCTCGTCCTCTCCCTCCTCCTGCTCCTCTACCCTCTTGGCCTTGAGCAGGGGTCCAACCATCAGGGAGTTTGTAGCAGTCGCACCACATGTGTCCGCTCTTGTGGCAATAGTGACACTCGCCGTCGAATCGGCCGCGACCGCGTCCGTAGCTCTTGTCGTCGCTGCCGTAACCGCCACTCCTGCGGCCTCCGCCGAAGTTGCTGCCACCAAACCTTCCTCTCCCTCGTCCTCTGCCTCTTCCTCGACCATATCCACGGCCGATGCTCGCTGCCCCAGCGCCATCCGCACTCGCCAACTCACGGCGGCGGAAATCCTCTTGAAGGATAGCTCGCTTCACGTCTTCAAGCGAGAGGCGGGGCAAGTCGCGATTAAGGTTGATGATGAGCGAGGACCATGACTCTGGGAGTAAGGCCAGCAACTTGGTCTTCTTTTGGAGCTCACTGTAGTTCAAATCAGCTCCCTCAAGCCGCGTCAACAAGTCGAAGAATTTCTGCACCCCTTCTTCAACCGCTTCGTTTTCTTCAATTCGTAGTGCCGCCATTTGCCGTTCCAACACCACCGCTACCGCCGCTGTTGCAGGAGCATGTACACCCTTGAGAGCAGCCCATGCCTTTGGTCCTTTCTCTGGTTCACGCTGGAATGGCTTGATGTGACGGATCTGACTGCTCCCCAACGCTTGCCCAAGTAAGAGATAGCCTTGTGCGCTCTTCCGCACCCACGGGCTCTTCTCCGGGTCGTTCTCGGGGCGCTTCTCCGTTCCTTCCATCACCTCCAGCAGGTCATAGTGGTCAAAGATGTTCTCCATCTTGAAGGACCATTCAGCAAAGTTGTCACCGTTGAACTTGTCAAGCCCAAACACCCTAGGCTCATCCCTAGGTGGGCCAAGACTTGGTTGCATGGGCGCCATGGCTGAATCACGGGGTTGGCCTTGAGCTTGAGCTTCTCCACTGCCACCAGCACCTCTGCCACCCCTTTCCTCAGGTCCAGACATTGTCGAAACTGCTCAAAGGGGCTCTGATACCACTTGTTATAGTCACAATAGGCTTGAATGTGCCTAAAACGAAAGATAGAGAGCACAGACGGATTTCTGCACAGCGGCTTCAAACGTTGATAGCGTTCTGCTCACAGCTGCAAATGACTTGATTCAAATTGGATCTGGAGCGTCTTCACGTCGTCTACAATTAGCAATTTAGATTGCACGATTTGATAAAGAATTGACGACACAGCGTCGGTTTTAACGAACGGTACTATGGCAGCCACTATAGTCTTAGAACACAAGATAGGAAGAGTTACGAGTTGGGAATGACTCCCAGCTCCTACAAACCCCAAGAGCCGAGGTACAGTGATGTGTAACAGTGCCACACTGTCCCCAACCACGAAGGGTCTCGAAACTACCCTTCACTAGGGCCTACACCAAGTGAAATGTTACACTACACAAAGTAATGTAACTATCTTAAATATCTTGAGGTGTACCCTTTTGGCAAGCTTCGAAATCACTTGAGGCTTGACACCAAGGCTCGGGCTCTTCATCACAAACTCATCCTTGAGTTCTTGATGGGTCTGCTGCACACACCTGCGACACGCCGAACGTTCGACACAGGACAAAATAGAAACCGCGCACGACAAAATAGAAACCGCGCGCGAGACACAAACGACCGCGTAACACGCGTCTAGCGATAACTCGCTATTGACTCGACACACACACTCGACATCATGACTCAACATTCACACACAATTATAAGCATGAAATATATATTATCCCATGCCCTCATACCATTCCATACACACACACATTCACGCACACGGACAACAAGCCGAGTGCAAACCGTAGGGTTGCACCAACAGAGTCCGGAGCTGTGAGTGTGCAGAGAATGTCCCGCGACACTGGTATCTCCCGAAAGTCCCTGTCAGAGTGGAAGTCGCGGAAGGGTGAGCTGGAAGGTGCGCATGGGGCTCACAAGCGCCTTGACGGGCGTGGTCGGGCGTCGTGGTACCGCGACATGGAGATCGAGGTGTACTCAAGTGTTCTTGCCCACCGGAAAAAGTGTCTCGCCGTGTCCGTCGGCCGATTGAAGAAGTGGTCACATGATGTGATGAAGATCCTGCATCCTGAGGTAAAGTGGGCTGGATCTCAGAGGTGGACTGAGCGTTTTCGACGGCGCTGGAACCTCACTACCCGAGCGAAGACCAGAGTCGGCCAGAAGCTGTCGTCTGGTGAGACGGTGTTTGTGCTGTCGCTCTCGTTTATGGCTGCTTACGACCTTCGAAATTCTAATTTACTTCTTTTGTTTGTCTCTCCCACCCTTCCCTTGCAGAGTGTGAGACACAGGTGCAGAAGTTCGTGCGACACTCCCGCCGTCAGTACGGCATCGACAACCGCTGGATTATTAATGCCGATCAAACGCCACTCTGGCTCGAGATGCCAGCTGAACGCACGGTCGAGGAGGTGGGGATCCGCTCCGTGCCCATCCGCAGCGGCGGCTATAAAAAAGAACGCGTGACGGTGATGCTCGCCTGCACCGCCAGTGGCGAGAAGCTCAAGCCTTGGGTCTTCTTTAAGCGCAAGACAATTCCTAAGGGGAATTTCCCCTCTGGTAAGCCGAGCAGCTTGTGCAGTGACGGTGTCATTTACATGTAATATTTTTTTTTTATGTCTGATGCTAATCTGTCCGTGCGCCTTGTTCGGATGTGCAGATGTTGTGGTCGCCGTACATCCCAACGGTTGGATGGACGCTGACGGCGTCCTTGCGTGGCTCAACGGGACGGTGAACCCGTATGTCAACCCCAGGTTCGGAGTACGCGGCAGGAAATTCGGGGAGCTGAACATCGTCCCCGCCGTCATACCAGCTGGCTGCACCTCTGAGATCCAGCCTCTTGACGTCGCGGTGAACCGCTCATTCAAAGCAGCAGTCCGCCAACTGTACCAGGAGTGGTTCGAGAGCGAGGGGGCCGACTGCCTGACCGAAAGAGGTGAGCTCAATCTCAACGTGTACGATGTGTCTGCTTAGACTGTTTCCACCCTGTTCTGATTGCTGTAGTGTTTCCATGTGTGGCAGGCAACATCCGCAAGCCACCTCCAGAGCTGACGCTCAAGTGGATCTCCAAGGCCTGGAAGGCCGTGCCCAAGGAGTTGATTCAGCGCTCGTTTCTCACCTGTGGCATCAGCAACGCCCTGGATGGGTCCCAGGACAATCTCTGCATGCAGCACCGGCGGGACGCCGTCAAGGGTGAAGTAGAACTTGACGACGCGATTGCAGCAGATGGATTCTGCTGCAACAACGTAGAGGAGCCAGAGTCGGACGGGGAGACCGACCAAGATGGCTCCGCCACTGTTGATGGTGATGCATAGGATGCTAGGAAGAATAGAAATTAGAGAAGATCTGTGAATGTTGCGGTAAACTTTCAGTAGGATTTAGTAGTAGAATTGGAAAAATATTATGTTGTAGTGAAAATAGCCTGTAAAAGATAGGATAATAAAAGTCGAATTAAAAAAGGGAGGCGCTTATAATGCGTAATAATACAGGGGTGCGCTTATAATCCGTAAGCCCCCAAGGGTGCGCTTATAATCGAGGACCGGATATAAGCGCCATCACCCTTTTACAACCGCCGGCGCTTATCCGAGGCCTGCGCTTCTATCCGGGGCCTTACGGTATTGTTCTGCAGGAGGACTTGCCTCTGCACAAAATGTACGGGCCAGTCTTTCCTAGAAGATTCTTTTCGCACCCAACCCAAATTTGAAGCGTGGATGTTGCTACGAAGTCCCGCATAGCCAAATGCATCCCCGCAATTTGTTCCTGCAGAACTTGTGCGCTGGCTGATGCTAGCTCGCGAAGGGGAATCAGCAGTGCACTAGTTGTGCGACCTTTTGCCTGGCGAAGAAACAAACCTAGATAAGCAAATGATCACTTATCAACGAAGATTCTACGTACCCAGATTCTGGAAATTGTCCGCCTGCAGAACAAAGCCACGAATAGAATGTGATTAACATTGCAATGGATTGAACGCGTCGCCTCTTTTCAGCTTATCAAAGAAGTTTCGAGGGTGCTTGGTTTCTCGAATCGTGCGCCAGCCGAACAAGGCCTGTACCGTCCAGCGTTCAGCAAAAAATAGAAACTTGCACCCTTAGAACCGTTAGGTCGTACGCTATCTCAATCCGCGACTCGCAGCATCCTTCAAAACCGGATCACCGGCAAATGCACAAGTCATGCGCGCGAAATCGGCAGCAGCATTTTAGTATGTGAGCATCGCGAGTGAAAAAAATGAGGGATTTCTTAACGCCTGCTTAGTTCGTACGCGTGGATACCGCGTACGAACACGTACACATAAAAGTACACGTACTTACGCTGCCTTTCAGGGTGTGAAGACCCAGCTTGGTTACGTATGCACGACGTGGTTCGCAATGAGTGGTGGCGTAGTGACGTGGACGAGGATGCGGAAGATGCTTGGCAAGTCGGGCAAGGCCAAGCAAGTCGACGCAGCGAAAGGCAAGCCATTTTGCAGTTCGGTACTTCGCTCAACGCTAGCGATAGCCAGCCATCCTTGTTTCGCGGCGCCTCATGGATTCGTTAATGTTTCGCGGTGCCTCATGGCTTCGTTAATGTTTCACGGCGCCTCATGGCTTCGTTAATGTTTCGCGGCGCCTCATGACTTCGTTAATGTTTCGCGGCGCCTCATGAATTCGTTATTGTTTCCTTCGACTCGCCCCCCTTCCACACGCCCTCGTCGCCCGCAATCTGTCTGCTCGTTCCGCTCTTTCTGGCTTCTGTATTTCCTCCTCTTAGTGTAACTTGCTCTCAATCATCTCTGCCTCCCACGCTGCTCGTCCCCCTCTTCCCTACCATAAGTGCATTGCTCCCACCTTAATGCCAGGGTCTCAAGTGAGAGAATCTTCCGTCAATGGAAAACTCGTGAAGCTCAAGTACCGTGTTCTTGTAGGCGAGGTGGACTGGTTGGCTAGGGAAGTTGGCGTGCTTGAGACCCTGGCTTTAACACCCCCCACCCCTCCCCTTCCTCCCGCCCCTCCCCTCAGCCGTCCCCATTCAGGGCGCCTGTGAGCGGTTCTCCCTGGTGGACATTCTAACCGCGACGAACCACTGGGCACCGCAGTTGCTGGTGGGCGACGGGTACCGCGTCCTGTTCAAGGGCGTGGACCCGCGCGACGGCGTCACCCCGTGGCTCTTGAAGCGCTGCCGCACGCGGGAGTTTGAAGAATTTTATGCAGAGGTGAGGGGGGCCGTGCGGGGGAAGGGAAGGGGACGAAAGAGTGTGGTGTTGGAGAGCGGAGAGAGGAGGGATGATGGGGAGGGAAGGAGAGTGAAGCAGACATGGTGAAGTCAAGGCGGGCGAAGGAGGAAAGAACACCTGTGAAGCGCCGCTCCTCTCCCTCCTCTCCCTCCCCTCCCACGCGCTCCCCACCCCCTGGCGTGCCCGCGTTCAAGTGGGAAGCAGGTGGCGGAGATGGGCAACAACAACCACCCCAACCTGGTGCGCCTGCTGGGGTACTGCGATGAGCGCCACAGGCAGAGGCGGTGGGAGAAGGTGGTGGTGTATGAATACATGACTGCTGGTAGCCTCCTCGACAAGTTTCAACCGGGTGGGTGAGGCATGCCGGCCGCATGACACACCTCTCTTTCTGACTGACCCCATGTCGACACAAGTGCAATACCTATGCCTATTCCAAACATGTGGCCCGTGGGTGCTTGCCTGTTCCTCTTGTACTCTCTGCGTTTGGCTCTGCCGGGTCTGCTTGCCTAGCATCCGTCCATTGCAATTTGCACGCATTCTATTCAGTTACCTTGGCCCATGTTGTTCAATCTACCTCACACCGTGTTCTTTCTCTTCTATGTTCAATCTACCTCACACCGTGTTCTTTCTCTTCTATGTTCAATCTACCTCACACCGTGTTCTTTCTCTTCTATGTTCAATCTACCTCACACCGTGTTCTTTCTCTTCTATGTTCAATCTACCTCACACCGTGTTCTTTCTCTTCTATGTTCAATCTACCTCACACCGTGTTCTTTCTCTTCTATGTTCAATCTACCTAACACCGTGTTCTTTCTCTTCTATGTTCAATCTACCTCACACCGTGTTCTTTCTCTTCTATGTTCAATCTACCTCACACCGTGTTCTTTCTCTTCTATGTTCAATCTACCTCACACCGTGTTCTTTCTCTTCTATGTTCAATCTACCTCACACCGTGTTCTTTCTCTTCTATGTTCAATCTACCTCACACCGTGTTCTTTCTCTTCTATGTTCAATCTACCTCACACCGTGTTCTTTCTCTTCTATGTTCAATCTACCTTACACCGTGTTCTTTCACTTCTCCTGTCAGGTGATGTCACCGGCATGCCTCTGACCCTGCAGCAGCGGCTGGACATTGTGATAGGAGTGGCGCGCGGGCTGGAGTATCTGCACAGCTTTGGCATCGTGCATCGCTGTCTTTGCCTTAGGAGCATTTCTCTGGATGGCAGCATGCAGGTGAGTTTCTGGGCTGTGAGAGCACCATCCTCCACCACACGACAAGTCACGACTCACGACTCGCAAACATGCTGCAGTGTCGTGTCATGGAGCAGCATCCATACAGGATCAGTTTACCGTGCCCTGTTATATTGATTCTGCATAAAGCATTCCCTCCCTCCCCCCCTTCTCCTGTGCGGCCACACGACGCGAGGCCACCCCTCCGCACACGCCACTGCACAACACTTCCCAAACACAACACTGTCAAAACACAACGCCACTCCAGGCGAAGATCGCAGGGTTTGACTCGGTGACGCGCAGGGCTGCAGCGGGCGGCGAGCACATGGTGGTGGGTGTGTCAGGGTACGTGGACCCGCAGCTGCTGCTCTCCAGGGAGCACACCACCACTAATGACCTCTACAGGTGCCCATCTCTTCTCCAAAATCCGCCCATTCCGCCTCTACTGACTCTCCTGCACAATGTTGCAGTGCCAGGCCAGTGCGGCACTGCCTCCCACAGCAACTTCAGTTTACCGACTCACTGTCTTTTTACCGGCTCACCATGTGGTTACGGACACACCACCTGGTTACCGACTCACCATCTGGTTACTGACTCACCATCTGGTTACCAACTCACCATCCGGTTTTCGACTCACCATCTAGTTACCGACTCACCATCTGGTTACCGACTTACCATCTGGTTACCGACTCACCATCTGGTTACCGACTCACCATCTGGTTACCGACTCACCATCTAGTTACCGACTCACCATCTGGTTACCGACTCACCATCTGGTTACGGACTCACCATCTGGTTACGGACTCACCATCTGGTTACCGACTCACCATCTGGTTACTGACTCACCATCTGGTTACCGACTCACCATCTGGTTACTGACTCACCATCTAGTTACGGACTCACCATCTGGTTACGGACTCACCATCTGGTTACCGACTCACCATCTGGTTACGGACTCACCATCTGGTTACGGACTCACCATCTGGTTACCGACTCACCATCTGGTTACGGACTCACCATCTGGTTACCGACTCACCATCTGGTTACCGACTCACCATCTGGTTACCGACTCACCATCTGGTTACGGACTCACCATCTGGTTACGGACTCACCATCTGGTTACCGACTCACCATCTGGTTACCAACTCACCATCTGGTTACGGACTCACCATCTGGTTACCGACTCACCATCTGGTTACCGACTCACCATCTGGTTACCGACTCACCATCTGGTTACTGACTCACCATCTGGTTACCAACTCACCATCTGGTTACGGACTCACCATCTGGTTACGGACTCACCATCTGGTTACCGACTCACCATCTGGTTACCGACTCACCATCTGGTTACGGACTCACCATCTGGTTACCAACTCACCATCTGGTTACGGACTCACCATCTGGTTACGGACTCACCATCTGGTTACCGACTCACCATCTGGTTACCAACTCACCATCTGGTTACGGACTCACCATCTGGTTACCGACTCACCATCTGGTTACCGACTCACCATCTGATTACGGACTCACCATCTGGTTACGGACTCACCATCTGGTTACCGACTCACCATCTGGTTACCAACTCACCATTTGGTTACGGACTCACCATCTGGTTACCGACTCACCATCTGGTTACCGACTCACCATCTGGTTACGGACTCACCATCTGGTTACGGACTCACCATCTGGTTACCGACTCACCATCTGGTTACCAACTCACCATCTGGTTACGGACTCACCATCTGGTTACCGACTCACCATCTGGTTACCGACTCACCATCTGGTTACCGACTCACCATCTGGTTACGGACTCACCATCTGGTTACGGACTCACCATCTGGTTACCGACTCACCATCTGGTTACTGACTCACCATCTGGTTACCGACTCACCATCTGGTTACTGACTCACCATCTAGTTACGGACTCACCATCTGGTTACGGACTCACCATCTGGTTACCGACTCACCATCTGGTTACGGACTCACCATCTGGTTACGGACTCACCATCTGGTTACCGACTCACCATCTGGTTACGGACTCACCATCTGGTTACCGACTCACCATCTGGTTACCGACTCACCATCTGGTTACCGACTCACCATCTGGTTACGGACTCACCATCTGGTTACGGACTCACCATCTGGTTACCGACTCACCATCTGGTTACCAACTCACCATCTGGTTACGGACTCACCATCTGGTTACCGACTCACCATCTGGTTACCGACTCACCATCTGGTTACCGACTCACCATCTGGTTACTGACTCACCATCTGGTTACCAACTCACCATCTGGTTACGGACTCACCATCTGGTTACGGACTCACCATCTGGTTACCGACTCACCATCTGGTTACCGACTCACCATCTGGTTACGGACTCACCATCTGGTTACCAACTCACCATCTGGTTACGGACTCACCATCTGGTTACGGACTCACCATCTGGTTACCGACTCACCATCTGGTTACCAACTCACCATCTGGTTACGGACTCACCATCTGGTTACCGACTCACCATCTGGTTACCGACTCACCATCTGATTACGGACTCACCATCTGGTTACGGACTCACCATCTGGTTACCGACTCACCATCTGGTTACCAACTCACCATTTGGTTACGGACTCACCATCTGGTTACCGACTCACCATCTGGTTACCGACTCACCATCTGGTTACGGACTCACCATCTGGTTACGGACTCACCATCTGGTTACCGACTCACCATCTGGTTACCAACTCACCATCTGGTTACGGACTCACCATCTGGTTACCGACTCACCATCTGGTTACCGACTCACCATCTGGTTACCGACTCACCATCTGGTTACTGACTCACCATCTGGTTACCAACTCACCATCTGGTTACGGACTCACCATCTGGTTACGGACTCACCATCTGGTTACCGACTCACCATCTGGTTACCGACTCACCATCTGGTTACGGACTCACCATCTGGTTACCAACTCACCATCTGGTTACGGACTCACCATCTGGTTACGGACTCACCATCTGGTTACCGACTCACCATCTGGTTACCAACTCACCATCTGGTTACGGACTCACCATCTGGTTACCGACTCACCATCTGGTTACCGACTCACCATCTGGTTACCGACTCACCATCTGGTTACTGACTCACCATCTGGTTACCAACTCACCATCTGGTTACGGACTCACCATCTGGTTACGGACTCACCATCTGGTTACCGACTCACCATCTGGTTACCGACTCACCATCTGGTTACTGACTCACCATCTGGTTACCGACTCACCATCTGGTTACTGACTCACCATCTGGTTACTGACTCACCATCTGGTTACGGACTCACCATCTGGTTACCGACTCACCATCTGGTTACCGACTCACCATCTGGTTACGGACTCACCATCTGGTTACCGACTCACCATCTGGTTACCAACTCACCATCTGGTTACGGACTCACCATCTGGTTACCGACTCACCATCTGGTTACCGACTCACCATCTGGTTACCGACTCACCATCTGGTTACTGACTCACCATCTGGTTACCAACTCACCATCTGGTTACGGACTCACCATCTGGTTACGGACTCACCATCTGGTTACCGACTCACCATCTGGTTACCGACTCACCATCTGGTTACGGACTCACCATCTGGTTACCAACTCACCATCTGGTTACGGACTCACCATCTGGTTACGGACTCACCATCTGGTTACCGACTCACCATCTGGTTACCAACTCACCATCTGGTTACGGACTCACCATCTGGTTACCGACTCACCATCTGGTTACCGACTCACCATCTGGTTACGGACTCACCATCTGGTTACGGACTCACCATCTGGTTACCGGCTCACCATCTGGTTACCAACTCACCATCTGGTTACGGACTCACCATCTGGTTACCGACTCACCATCTGGTTACCGACTCACCATCTGGTTACCAACTCACCATCTGGTTACGGACTCACCATCTGGTTACCGACTCACCATCTGGTTACCGACTCACCATCTGGTTACCAACTCACCATCTGGTTACGGACTCACCATCTGGTTACGGACTCACCATCTGGTTACGGACTCACCATCTGGTTACCGACTCACCATCTGGTTACCGACTCACCATCTGGTTACCA